AAACGTTTTGTAATGTACGCAAAGAAACAATAAATATTCATAAGCAAATAATCTAATATATGATAATCCAATATATTTTCTTTCAAACTGAAAAATCTAATTCTGCTGCATCTTCACATAACATAACATAGTGATCTCGGCGCTGCAGTGTAGGCCTGATGTGGCCTGTCGCCGATTCTTTTCCTTTTCGTGCCTTGTTCACAGAAAATCGAAATCGGGGAATTAGTTTAGGTTTAGGATGGAAGAATTTGTTCCTTTAAGCAGTTTTCATTGATTTGGTTGATTATAAATTCATTAGCTCAATATAATATATTGTACTATATATTAGAAAAATTAACAAGACAAGAAGTTGAAATGTTTAAGTTGAAATTTTAAGATCCTTATCCTATGCCTAGAATCGTTTATTTACTTATATCGCCATTTTGTAATATTTTTAATTGGTTCACCACAATACTCGCTTTTCATTCTACATTTACTCTACAAATTCTTTCTTTCATTTCGAGTTTTCATTTTGAAATTCGTTGCTTCTTATGAAATAGGTTATACTTTACAAATTAAATGAAACACTCTGAATGGATAACTGAAAAATAACAGCATGATAAAATCATGTATGTTGCGTACAAAAAATAATTTGATATCTCTTGCCGAATAATTCCTTGATTTCTCAATAAACACTCGCTATAGATTTTTCGACGTCAATACGAAACCAAATTTTCTAACAGTTATCTTCCAAGCCACGCACTGTTAGACTTTCTCTCTTGCACGGTCAATCAATTAAAATTACTTAGAATAACGCAATTTGTGATGCATCAAGTGCCGGCTTGGGCCACGCAATCATAAGCCTTGTATGGGTAAGTTGAAGTGAAGCCCATCGCCGGTCTCACTTCCAGACCGGGCGCCGGTCAGTGAACACAGCCCTTGTCTCCAGGCGCTTGAAACTAAAAATAAAGACTTGAAACTAGATCTGTTATCGTTGCTGCATAGTCGCTTGTTCACTCTAGTATCGCATAAACGATTGATTGTACATAATTTTATGTACTACATAAATTTTCCCTACAGCAATAATTTTTGAGCACTGGCTCCCACCTGCATTTTAAAAGTTTCTTTGCGTTACCCCTGCATCAGCATTGATAAGAGCTTGTGTGCAGTGATCTGATTTAGGTACATTGAAGCAACAGTGGAATTTTTCCAATTATATCCCAAGCTAAAACTGCTACGCTACAACTTTTGAGGTGAGCCCACTGTAAATGTTTGGAATAGTTAATTAAAACCGAATTTATCGCAACCGATAGATTATCGCAATGTCGTTCAATGCTTATCAAAATTTTCTGCCTTGTTCTTGCTACGAGGCCACAAGGCAAAGGAAATTTCAAATGCTATTTTTGGCCTGTACAAGTTTTGTACGATAAATAGATCGACAACAAGCTTCCCATTTCTCTCTCCACGGCGATCATATTGCTGAGCTCTGAGCTTCCCTCTTTACTGAGCCACTCGTAAATTTTTGCCGGTACTTAATAATCGGTGGTAAAGTGGAAAATACAAAGCTGGTCAGAATACATGTATCGTCCGCCTAACCGTATATAGAATATTATTTAATCGGCACGTAATAATTTCATTGAACTACACGTAATTAATAATAACAACAATTGTTTTTTTCAAAAGACGTAAATTTACTAGTGATTTATAGTAAAAATTCTAGAAAATGTCTAAATAATTAAAATACCCTGAATAAAAATATTAAGGAATCAATGTATAAATATATAGCAAAATATATTTCTTACTCATTTCATTGTCATTGTATGTAAAATAATTATTGTAGAATTCACGAGGCTAACGTTTTAAATGGGGAATGTACTTCTTTCATTTGACATGCATAAATTTCATTCGAAAATCGGACCAATATGTTGTTGAGATCTAATTTCTCATTAATAGATATCCATAAAAAAATAGAATCTCGGTTTCCCAACAAATTTACTTTGTGATGCATAACAATCAAATCATTTACATGTGACATTTCAATAGATTGTGTCGCTTTTCTAGGCTCTCGAAAAGACATACATAGCTGGAGATGCAATCTGACTTGTATGAGCATACATTACTTGTTTGATAAAATTCAGTCCGTTCCAATCAATAAAATTTGAATACTCAGTCAAATAAGGAATTTATGCATTTTAAACTGGCTTAAAGTTCGAACATTTGAATGCGACGAATGTGGTCAGAATTCATGTGTTAAATACTTTTTTCGTTAATTTGTCGACACGTTGGAATGCAATTCAAGAGAAGAAGAAAGACTTAAAATTGATTTTCATTAGAATATGCACATGAAAGCTACTTTTATTCCTTCGTCAATTCGGAGAAAATTTAAATAACATTTGAACATGAAATTATGGATGCAATGCTGTCATAAAGATTTTTCTTGTATTCAAATTCTTTAAACTTCATTTCAGCTCTGGCTAATCAATCTTTAAAATTTATTTTCTTCTGCACTCGCACCAAAATAATCAGCTCCTCCTTTAACTATTTTTCGACATTTTCGCCATTTATTTTTATTTCGTCAGCCATTTTTAGCGCATTTTCTCATTTATGGAAAAAATGCACATGTTATTTTTGATATTCACCTTGAAGTCCTTTTTCATGTGAAGTTTCTTGAAGATGGTTTTCTATTAGCGCTCATTTAGTTGTTACATTTAAATTTGATGCTGTGTTTGATATATGAACCTAAATTCTTTGTTGAACTTTTCGTTAAAATGATGACTCCCTTGACGAGCTCGGCAGCACATACTCCATCTTAAAGCTATAGCGTTCCATCGACCTCAATGAATATCAACGCTGAGCCGAGATATCAATTTCATATGTTCTTGTCTCTTATCATCTGTTTATAAAACGACTAGCGAAGTATTTTCTCAATTCCTTGGCTTATCTCCCTTTGACCTTCCCTGGATCCCCGTCCTTAGACCTGGATTTTGTCCCGATTTCCCTGCTTGGCTTGCTCCCCTCCCTCCCTGTATTCATCATTTCTTTGTACATAGTAATTAGTGATCGGCGAGACTAACTTTTTCATTCGTTGTCTTCTTCGTCTATCACGACGACATAGACGATAAACTATTTTCGAAAAAAATTGAGATATTCTCAGTTGATATGAAATGTAGATATTTGGTTGCACAGCACGGTATTGACCTCCAGCTCCTACTGATGTACAAATTTGTTCATTAACATTTGAGACGATCTTAAAGAATATAGCAAACACTGCACTGTTTAAAACACTCGGAGTTAGTTTTGATTACTTTGAAATTGAGAGCCGATAAAAGCATGAATAATTTTTGCCTCCAACTTCATGTAGCATGGATGACAAGAGACAACAAAAATGCTTCCAAGCATCGCTTCAAGGACATTTTCAATCGGATCTTAAAGTAACTCTCATAAACCCATAAAACATTATAATGCAGTTAACATATTTTGTTCATTTATTTTAAGGCAGATATTTTCAGTATTTATTACGATTTTTACTTGGCAGCATATGTCGAGAATTAAATGATAATTAACAGGCATGTGAATAGAAGAGATCGAATAGTCTTCACCGCAAATCATCGATGCAAATTCTGAATATACACGTCTGAATTATTAAAAAAAATTTTACCCTCTTAAGCTCTTAAACTTCCACACAATGAAATATTTGAATAACTATTGCACTCTATGAAGCGAACTCCTGATGATCTTCAGAGTTCCAGCTGCCTCTTCAACAAGCCGTCTTGACGGGCATGTTAATTTTGGCAATTATATACGTCACTTACACCTTCTTCGGACCGTTACTGTTCACTAGCCCGCCTAACCTGCTACAGTTGCCCGGGATCGGGCGGTCTTGGGAGACCGTCAATATGCAAACTGCGTCAAAGGTGCTAAATGGGTGAGACGATCACAAAGTGCTTTCGCGCGTAATTTATTACTCAACAGTTGCTTTCACGTGAAATGTAAAAAAAATTCTAATTGGATTCATTGGGGGTGAGATTCTCATTATTGAAATGAAATTAATAGATTCTTTTGACGGGACAGAAAAATTTTATGCAACATAAATTTAGGCCACTCAATTAGGGAAGAAGTATCCTGAGTTTCAACACTGAAATTCTACCTTGAAGGAGTATGATTTCAGCTCTGGCGTTGAATTTATCATTGTGTATCTCGACCAAAACCACAGTTCCACTTGCACTATTACAGTTGGAGTTGTGCAACCGTTTCACTGAATTTCTATAGGATTCGTACCTGCTGTTGACGTTCTTGAGAACACGAATAAATATATCTTTCGAAGTTACATTTCTATTCCATAGTATAATAATTCTGCCAAATGATTTAATTCTCATGTGAACACGCAGTGTTAGCTTCTCCAGCGACCGAATAAATGAGAAATAATATCGATTCAACGTTTTGATGCCTACTTATACTGTCGTGAAAGTATGTAAGCTATAATATACTATACTCTAGTCTAGCTGATGTACTGTGCTATAATACTATAATATAATACACTATAATATAATTATTCTTTGGAGTCAGCATTGAAGATAAGGACTCTTTTGACTCGTCACCGTTTCTTGACTTGACAAAATTTTCACATTTTACTGGATTTTGAACCCGAAATTCACAGCTCATATTTGGAAGATCCCAAACTATCTACCACCCTCTCATTATTAAATAGTGTTTCTTTGCATCAAAACTCAGCTCTTCATCCAGAAAATATTCATCTGTGATGCCATGATCCAACTCTGAGTCAAAACGTGGATGCAAATCAAACTGAAAAATTTTCTCCTTAAATCGCGAATTTCATTCATTCAGGGCAAGAACCTGTGGACTACGAGGTTGGAATTCCTGTACCAGAGGACTGGTATAATTTGTACGCAGCTATTTACGATGCCTTGATTCCACGCATCCCAGGGCCTATTGCGCTCAAAGCATTGCGACTCTTCCTTATGTCACTGATTGGCTATGGAATTTTTTTCTCTTTCTTTGTGATGATATTGCCAATTGTCTACGAACCACCTTTGGAAGATGAGGAGATAACGACAGAAGATGAATTTGGAACTGGATTGTCACGAAATGACGGAATGGAAATATTGGAAGAGGATTTTATCCATCCCGAGGATTTGGCAGTGGATAATGGCAACAATGTGGACCAGTATCTTGGATACACATATTACGAAGGAGAACAACGTAAACGGAAAAATGACGAAATTAAAGATGGCTATCGTGCACAAGGATCTCAATTAAACACCAACCATCTCATGTACAGATTTATCCGAAGGTTGGTATTCAGTTGACGTCGAAGTCTTTCAAGTTACCGCATACAAAAAAGAGATTATTTTGGAAGAGAAACCTTCATATAAAAAGTAAATTAAAATTTAATTTCGTAAGATACTGAGATGATTTTTAACTGTGCTTCAATGTTTATTGTTTAAATTTAGTTGATATTGTGGAGATGAAAAAACTGTGAAAGTTCAATGTTCATTCGAATTAAAGGGAAGAACTTTGCCACCTCTGACGTAGGTCCGAATTAGGTGAAATAAATCATAGGAACAGTCCGAATTGAACCCCATGGTGCGATAAAGATTTTCGGCTCATATAGACTGTAATTTTATAGTATTACTCGTATTGACAACAATGACATGCAGTAATTTAATTTTGATTTTAATAATTTAAAACGAAAATTCATAAATAATTGTACAGTTTTTAACAAGCGAATCAAAATAAATAGTTTTCCGTCTGTATGCTTAGGAATATATTTCATGTTCCTAGTCTCCAGTTCATGCACATATTGCCTACTTCAGGCAACAGGTGCGCTAGTAGCACCAGTTGGCCAGCGGCTCATATACCGCATATACCACTATTACGTAGGCTGTAAATGCGCCTTACGAGATGGTTTAACATGACGCTAGTTTATGCAACTAGTAGGGGCACCGTGCATCGAGCTTGTATGCCTAGCGTCTATAAATTGCATCTAGTTTGTGTGCCTTGCGCATTGGCCTTGCATTTAGTTTGTGGACCTAGCGCATTTGCCTTGCACTTAGTTTGTGTACCTAGCGCCTTTCCCTTGCATTTAGTTTGTGTACCAGCCTTGCATATATGCATTTAGTTTGTGTACCTAGCGCATTTGCCTTACATTTAGTTTGTGGACCTAGCACATTTGCCTTGCATTTAGTTTGTGTACCTATAGCGCATTTGCCTTGCATATATGCATTTAGTTTGTATGCCTAAGGCATTTGCCTTGCATTTAGTTTATAGGCCTAGCATCAATGCCTTTCACTGAATTGTTGTGCCTAGTATCCCTGCCTTACATCTAGTTCGTGAGCCTAACATTTACCTCTCGCATGTAGTTCATGACATAGAGAAAGGTACAATCCCATAATTCATCAGTATAGCACCTGATTCATTATCCATCTAATAATTCCATTGTTTGGTTCAAGTGACATTTGTTAAATCCAATTACCGTCCACTGAGCAGAGTTGCTCAGTGGTTACAGTTCAGAGTAATAGTATTGGAGCAGTGAGGTGCGGGTTCGATCCCATGCAGCACTGCATGAGCAAAAGTTTCGGGTCAGAATCGGCGAGGAGGCCGGGCGGTTAAGCAAAGTAAAATTGTAGCAGTGAGTTGCGTGTTCGAGACCGCAATAAGCTGTGAATGTAGTGCGGTGTTAAGAATCGGTGCCATGCTTACGGCCTAATATAAACGCTATAAACGGCTATAATAGAATTAAACCGCTACCGTGCCCATTGCTGTTCTTGTCCAGCATCTAGAGCAGTTTTTTCATCTAGTAAAAGTGCCTATATTGTGTCATTTCCAATATCTAGTGTGCGCGTCTAGTTTCATTTCAGGCATTTAGCCCAACTTATTTATTGTCATTTCGCGAATTTAGTTGAAGTGCTTAACGTCGCTCCATACATCTAGCTCTTTTACCTAGTGCGTTGGTCACGTAACTTCTCTAAGTATTTTATGTTATTTAATGCATATACGTTGTTTTTCGCGAAACCCGTATCACGTAACGTCTTTTAAATGCAAAATATCATGTGAAGAGGGCGCAAATTACAAGATAGTATGGGAACTATAAGACTTCTCAGCTCTTGCTGGTAAGATAAGGGGATATCTCAGCCCTTGCAGGTGCCCAACCTAATAGAGCAACCCAGACTCTGAGATAATCCAAAATTACTCACTGAGCAGTTTAAAGTGCGGTGTAAGTAAGATCCATGATAGCGGGACCACTAATTTGTCAGCAGACCACCAACTTATTTTACTAGCGTGATACTCGTTTCATCACCGTACGTTTGGCTGTCCAGGTTCTTCTGTCCCTTTTACGTCGTTTTTGGTTGCGCGAGGGTCGTAAACATGAGCTTGCATCTGCGATTGACGAACGAACCTAAGGTCAAAACATTCGACGGTTCCTGGTTGTGTTAATTGTTAATTATCGTTCAGAAATTAATAATAATGGCCTCATCGGATTGACAAAAGTTCCCCGCGTGTTATTCTTAAGAAGCACGACAGCAACGTACATTTTCAATACTAACAATATTGATTACTCTGTTCGTTACTAACGTCCATCTCATAATAGTTAAGTAAAGTACACTCAATTTGTTTTTCATTAACAGTGCTATTTATGCTAAATTTTGCCCAAATTTTAGGATGTATGCTATCACGATAATTTGTTAAAAAACTTCACCGCGTGCTTCAATGCAAAGCAAGTTGCTCATTAGTGAATCTTCGCATTTAACTTTCATTTTGATGCTTCGCGGCATCAACATTGCGATCTCAAAAGCTTGCCGAGCTTGATCCTCTAGCCTCGTAGAAGTTTGCTTGCTCGATCGTCCTGCAGTATTTTGCCTCGTTATTTATCCCAGGCGATCGTCAGCCACGCAAGCTAGTCCAGAACTTACCTCTGCGAGGCTTTGCACGACACAAGCAAGCCAATAAGAAGCTGTATCCACAAAAGAAGAAAAAACCTACGCGGCACCCAGACGATATCGACAGGTTCTTCTTTGTTCTTGACGACTACGACCCAATTGAAGAACTGCCTGAGCCGACGTCGTTACCGTGGATCCAGCTGGCTTCGTTAGGAACATTTATTACAGGCATCACCGTCTACTTGGCGCAACTGCTTCTTGACATCAACCAGAAGCCGAATCTGCCAATCCCATTTGGTATCAACCGATTTGGTCGAGACTTGAGACACCAAGATGAATCTAGAAACACCAGGTACATCTACCTCCCGAAATTATTGAACTGTTTTAAAATATTTCCTTTTGGCAGCGAAATAGTCGAAGAGAGTTTAAAAAATTAGATTTAAATATTATTGAAAGAAACAAGAACTTTAATTCATATTTAAAGATGATGAAAATGGCCGGATGAATGCCCATAAATTTCTTAACGAAATTTGAAATTTTTAAGCATTGAAATTTTAAATTTTCAAAGATGAGAGTAAATCGAGGGGAAAATGCACAATTGCATGAACACAGCGTGAAATGTACACTGTTCATCACTCTCACTGCCTGCAAAATTCCTTATAAGTCCAAATTTTTTATTAAGCGACACAAATTCGGTTGATAAACGCGTTCAACGTGAAAAATAAGCAATTAAGTTAAAAATTAAGCTCTTGATACACAATGATCGGTTACGTCAGAGCTGGCAAAATCCTTTTATTCATTTATAGTTGACAATGAAAATAAGATTGCGATGAACATTGAGCCGATATTCTTTGTCTAACAGACTTTAAAATAAGAGATATAATGTTATTAAGAAATAATTCATAATTTATTTTTGTGAAATTTGAATATTGAGTTCTGAAACCATACTGAAATAATAGCTTTCTTCACGCTAAAAGTTCTGAACGTTGTTTTCATTTGAGAAAGCCTAACCACACGTACGATTGCAGTATCGACGATTTCGATGAGACAGTAAATGGAGTGATGCATCCTGCCTGTCGCCCTCAAATGCTGTGTGAAACACGGCAACTAATAACTTACGTGCCAGCCTTCGAACGTATCGTCCAAACCTACGGGTGAGGAAGCACTGTGATGTTGGCATGATTATAATATAACATGGAGGTGTCGGCATTGATTAAGCCGTATTGGTCGGTAGCTGATTCTAAACAACCCCAACATCTCGTCGATTTCTACCAGGTTTTTAAAAATGAATTGTGTGATTCGAACCCACAACTCGAGGCTCAAATCTTGGTGATCTTAAGGAATCGGCCAACCTCGAGCTTATGATACCTAAAATCAAATTAAAGGGTACGATTGAACTACCCGGCATGTTCTGATTGCAAGTAATAAACGGGATAAATGAGCATTTATAAGTCCATGTATAGATAAGTTTCTGGCATGACGATGCTGCTGTTTTCTAGTGTTCTGCATTTTGTTGAGGCCTGGAAACATTAGATGAGGATCTCCTGCTATTCTTGTTGTTATTATGTCCGCTCAAAACTCGCTTAAACCTCGTAGAAGATCATCTGAAGATCATATACTGCCAATAATGAGCCGACCGTTACTGAAGAGGTGCTTGTATCCGATGCCCCCAGAGTGAGCCTCAAAGGACTGGGTGACGACTACGAACAGGCCCTGCAGAACGGGGCAGCGCGACGGTCCTGCCAACAAGAACCCCCCGTTTGCACCTCAAGCTTCGTAACTTGGTTACTGGAAGCCACTAAAGCCTTCGACAGACTCTGGACGACTGACCAGGAGAACTTGAACAGAACCCGCACCAATGCCAAGAAAAGGAAGAGGCCGGTAATTGAAAGACTACGTGCTTAAAGAATCTTCAAAAAATGATCATCGTCCTGTATTTAAGTCTCCGATTTTTCGTGTTGAATGAAACGTACATGATAAATGCGCATTCAAATATTTATTTACTGAATGATATCAAAGGAAAATTTCAACTAGCAAGGAAGTAAGAGCTAGTAAGCCATAACAAAAAATGAATTACCATGATGCTACATGACCATTTAGAAACCCTTATCAGATATCTATTTTAAATAACATCCGCTCTCTAATGTTAAACTTTTTTCCTCCGCGGTCAAATGCGAGGTCATCACAAAGATGGAATTAAGTTGAGCGTATTACTCAAAAGTTTCGTCACGGAAGCATAGACTGCTGTTTTAGTTTAGTCAATTCTGGTACCATAAAGTTCGTGCGTACGATCCTAATCAGAACCAAAATTGTTCAAAATTAATCTAGAATTGTTGATCTCTCTTTGTAGTTAGTGGAAAGGTTCGATTGATAAAAAACTGGGCGCGCATACTGCTATATTTTCCTGTATTATTGTTATTGGACGGAGAATTTTTGATAATCTGTGCTTGTCACTTTATGGTTTTACGCAATTAGTGCGGAAGAATCAAATGAACTGGTGTTTTTGTGATCTTGAACTCGTGTTGTAGTCACCTATAAAAATCAAATTCGCTCATATTTTAATCATAAAATCATGATTCTGTAGCACGTCCCTGAAATGACACAACTAACTTTATCAATGTTATCCCTTATGTATAAGAGAATGCTCCGCATCGATGGTTTCCTAAAGACTCTCTGAATGGAAGAATGTGTATGACTTTATTTGTCACATTTAGGTATTAAATCAATGTATCATGAGGCTAATACCTTCACGGTGTTTGCTTTTGCTTGGACTTATATGTAAGTTTAAATAAATTATTTACTTCTATTACGTTCATAATTACGGAACGAAAGTTCAGCTCTACTTCATCACACAGATTGTGGACAATAAAACTTGCGTGTTGTAGTATTAGAAGCTTTCCAAGTTGATTGCGGCGTTCCAATAAGATTTATCTCGTTCGACATTGAAGCTGATTTTAAACTGGCTAAGTTTGCTTATATATTCGACCTAGCTTCAAAGTAGTATATTTAAGCTTGGTCACACCAGATTTGTGTATTAGGTACAGAATGAGAATGACAGTATGCGTTGCGTGTCAGTGTGACAATCTAAATGAGAATGCGTCTCGCACGTCCATGTACGAATGAGTTACTGTACATATGAGGCGCATACTAAGTTCAAACTATAAGATCTACGTCATCGTATCTCTGGCAAGAAAAGGTAGTTTTAATTCATTATTCTTAATGGTAAACTGGAACAACTTTAAAGTTCTAATATGAATAAGCTCTAAATTTAGGTATTTATTTATTATAATTATAGCTCGTTTATTCTTAACTTAAAATCTAAGTTTGTTCAAATGACGAACAATTATCGTTTCAAATGCGTATTGATATTATGCATTGCTTGCATTTTTTGTCAGTCGTAATAATTAAACCACCGCTTCTCATCGCAAATATATTGCCCAGAAAATGAAGCATTTTTCAAATTTCTCCTTAAAAGAAAATTCATAATCAGAACACCCGTATACATTTTCCGACTCATGAATACTATGATTGAAACACCGGAATCCTTTTTCTCGACAGAAATAATTGATGGAAGATGAGAAAGCTCGAATAATTGATTCAACCGTAAACCCGATTATTAATTCACACGGATTGTTTTCGACAGATGACTTATATGATGAAAATACCAGTATCTTTTTTTTCATACTGGTGAAATGGCCGATGAAAATATTCATTCTTTCGGCTGGCGAATGGTATCATGGAAAGACCCCTGACGAATTTTATGATGTGAAAGCCCATATCATTCTTCAACTGATGAAACCCGTGATTAAAACATCCGTATTATTTTTTTACTTATGAATCTATGATGAAAACTTTCGTATCGTTCTCTCGACTGTTGAAATCAACGTTGAAAACCCCCGTATCACTTTTAGACTGACGAAACCGACAATGAATACACCAATATTACTATTTCCGACTGATGAATACTATCAGTTGAATGCTTGCGCCGGCTATCAAATGGAGAAAATGAAATGTAATAAAAGTCCGGTGGGAATAACGCTCAAGCCTTCTTGTCTTGAAGTTTTATAAATTGGGCGTTAGAGATAGGCAGCGAATAATGATTTTATCACAGTTTGAATTGAATTTCATCGCATGTTCAATACAATAACATTTTCAAGTTGAGAGGGACATAAAAGATCTTGAAAACAGTTTCGCTATTTTTTTTACCAGAGGAGAACAAGATGATTCTCGCAGGATCACTCTTACAATTCATACACACTTACACACTATAATTGCTGTTCTCTGGGACCTGCAGCGTTCATGAAGAATTTATTATATCAAATTATTTTATTTGTCGAGTTTTCGACCACTATTCGTATATATGCTTTTTCAACTCACCAAAAAATGAGCACACGGTTAACTAACATTTGCATTAAAATACCGTATCATGTTTTGACCATAACAGAAAACAACACTTGTTGTTATTAGTACTCATTAATACCAATAGAACACGTTTATCCCTCTCCTAATAACAAAAAAACACATACCTAAGGTTTTCCTTAATTTTGAACATATCCTGCGTATCGAAACTTTTGGTCGTTACCTGGGACAATTTTTACCAATTATCCTACCTTGCATGGTTAGAATTAAAAAAATTTAATTTATGAAATTAGGATTTTTGAGCGTGATTAACCTGTTGGTTCATTTTACCATTTTAATGAACATATAACATTGAAAAAGTCACCAAAAAACGGAGTGAAAAGTTTTTACCCTTATCTTGGAATGCTGCGGTCATTACCCTTATAATTCAATAACAAGTGGAATTAATAGTTCATTGAAACGTACGTAGCCATTAGTAACTCGCCACACACAAATTTCATAATTATTTTTGTAATTTTACTAACTTAAGGGTAGGGAGGAAAATAATTGCGAGGAGTTCAGTAGCATACATCAAAGCTTTTTCAATGTAAATGAGGAATAAATGTGCATTGAATCTATTAACGAGTACAGGACTGTAATTCATACAAACCGGTTATGGGCGTTTAACGTAATACAGAAAAAATGTGTTAATTAATCTTTTTCGTTTGTATAAAATATCATGAAAATTCATATCCAAAATTCCCAGCTGCCTGTCCCAAGACTCTGAATTCGCTCCAAAATCGGTCTTTTATAGCCCCATAAATGGTCAGCTTACTGCTCTAACTGAATATCTTACCGTTTTCCCATTAATTTTCTCTAATATTTCTCATTGAAAACTCAAAATATTTGCCGGTTTATAGAGTTAAATATCATATCTTACTCTCTAATGCCCCAAAATAGAAGATATAATTTAATGAACATTCCTATAGTAGTTATTCTTGAACGGTATATCGGCAAGCCAATTGCGAACCTTTGTCCACAAGTCGTTCGCAATTCCTTCTGGCAACATCACCTGACAATATTGTTTTTTTTTTCTATAATTTCTATTGATGAAAACATAGAGTATGCAGTAAGACAGGAATTTTGTCCATAGAACCGGACGATGAAGATGAAAAATTCATCAATTCTCGTCTCACTGAAGCTGCCATTGTGCTTGGATTCATATACTTCTCATGGCACATTTTAAGACCCGAAGATATATTCCCGGACGGCAACGACTGGGCAGGGCTAATCGGGCGCAACATGCCGAACGACGTTGAAGATCGTGAAGATCTCACCTTCAGTAAAGTCTTTACTCGCACCTATGACAACCTCATGAACAGGTTAAAGACTTTAAAACGATTTATTTATTTACCAGTCATTCATTATCAAATTTGACCCGTTTTCAAACATCGGCAGGGCCAAACCCAAAGTTAAAAGTCAGTTAAAACTTGGAATATTGTTCAACTCTGGCCATTAATAAGGGAATACGCTTCTCACTCACTTCCATAATGAATATAAAAATGATAGAATCCAATTTATAAGTTGAAAATTATCCAGTTAGATGGGAAACAGAGACTAAAGCTACAATCCTGACCGCCTGCAGTGTGGACCCAGTAAAGTCTAGCCTGAGCTACGTCGGCGTTCAAGACCCAGACTGCCAAGAACGTCTCGTGTGTACCGTACGCCGCGTCCTCGCAACATTTTCTGTCTCTGAAGCCGCCGTGCAGAGCCTCGGGTCAGTGTGACGTGACCATTACCTGCCTGTTTCCTGATACTAGGTTATTAGATATAGGTTAGGACTATGATCATGATACAGATAATATTTATGTTACTATTTGGCACTACGATCATGATACAGAGAGTGTTCAGATTATAATCAAGCTATAAACTATGACCGTTGTCGCCTGAAATACAGCATTTACGACCGTTAGTTTTAACCCGAATGCACATTGTTTAGTGCAAACCAAATTGAATTTATAACTGTTCATGACCAATGAGTCACCGTATCACAATGCTACTTTTTATAAGAACAGGGGACTCAAAATATAATCATTTCAAGTATCTTTCAACCTGTGATATTAACTGCTATGTTTAAACTCAGTTTCAATTCAGAAATAAAATGTTATCTCCCGTCAATGACACATGAGTTGCCTCGCAGCAGATAATGCACTTTAACTCAACCCGTGTTGACAAAATCGACATAATACTCATTAGATCTACGCGATTTACAGGTTTAGATTACCAAAAAATAACTACGAAGCTGTTCCGATTTCGTCAAATACTTGTAATTCAGTTTTGTTTTAAAAAAATATATCATTTTCTATGAAGGCCGGCGACCTAAGTGCTGCAGCGACTTGAGTGACAATGACGCTAGAATAATACAAAAGGCAGGTTGGCCCAGTGGTTAATTAAAGTTCAGAGTACCAAGATTGGCGCAGAGAGGTGCAGGTTCGATCCCCGCTCTGTGCGCCAGTTTCTGGTCAGAATCGGCAAGGAGGCCGGGCGGTTAAGCACAGCAGAATTTGAATCAGTGAGTTGTGAGTTTGAGACCGCAACAAGCTGTGGATGTTCTGCGATGAAGTAATGACGCTAGAATAATACAATAGGATGCTGAAGTAATGACGCTAGAATAATACAATAGGATGCTGAAGTAATGACGCTAGAATAATAAAATAGGATGCTGAAGTAAAGCTTGCTCACAGGTGGCTGTTGGGTAGCGCGCCCTCGTACGCGGAGGCCCTCAGGCACGGCAGAGAGCTGCACGATTGCAAGGAACTGTACCCCAAGTGCCCGGTGCTGCCTCTGCCATTCTTCTGACAATCCAGACAATATTGAGGCAAAGACAAGCTATCCGGTATAACTACAAGACAAGATATCCGGTGTAACTACAAGCCACGCTATCCGGTGTAACTACAAAGCCAAACTATCCGGTGTAACTACAAAGCCAAACTATTCGGTGTAACTACAAGCCACGCTATCCGGTGTAACTACGGAATCTTCATATTAATTTCAGTCTTCCTGGGGCTATTAAGTGGCCAAACTTAATAGCCCCAGGCCGTTCTTGAACATAATATATCCATCTACGAGGAAAGGTCTTAGCCAAATCAAAGAATGCTTAAAGAAAGTAAACTTGAATCGCCCTAATTTTTTTCAGTAACACACGAATTTGTAAAAAACACAATTAGTTCTGTCTTTATCTAATAACTCAACAACATTGTAAACATTTTCATACATGAATCACATTATAAATTAATAATTTGATATGCTCAAGTTCGAGAATTCATGCAAAGTCAGATTCTTCAGGTGATGCTGGGTATTTCAGGGGTTTAAGTAAATGTCATCGAACTTAACAACAGGTTATTATTTAATGGCTATCAGTAGTGCAGCTGTGGATAAAGTACATAAAATTCATGTGCGTATGATGAGATAAGCAAAAGTTCCTTATAAAACAATAATATAGTTATCACTCAGTTGTATAATTGAGACAAAATAACGATGGGATTTCCTTCTACAGCTATGTATTTGGCATGTAAATTATTCATGTCGTAAACCTACATTTGACAATCGCCTTCAGTTCCTTGATGTAGATTGTTCACCATTTCTGGTTTATGTCGATCGACCACGGACCATAGCACACCTCAAGAACAACATTCTCGACGTCATTGCCAAAATACCGATTGATATGCTGCATAGAGTGGAAACCATTATGAAAAAAGCGACATCATTAGTTTATGTGCAATGGAGGCCGTCATTTATGAGATTTAATTTTCAAAACTGTATGAAAAAAAACTTGGGATACTGTTTTCTCGAATAAAAAAAATTTAAAATAATAACAGAGGTACTTTTGTTTTTATCGACCTTTCAAATAAGTAAGTTTCTGTGGCGCACCCTGTACCTTTCAAATTCCTAGTTTTGTATGCTACTCCGCATTGCATTTTGTTGAAGAATTTAACATTATAATTAGACAGGATCTAATTTTAGTTCTTACGGCATTTCTTTTTTACGTTATATTATCTTAATATTTTTCTTTGCTGGGGTGCATAAACTACCAATAACCATCACTCACAATCAATTTAACTTTCCAATCGCGATATTTAACTATTAATCAAAATTAATTCCTTTTTCCGCCGCCTTTAAATGATCATTTACTATGAAATTAAACTCCTAAGATGTCTTTATAAATAAAGTTACATGTGTTCTGAGGATAATTGTTCTTGTATACCAGTCAGGTTAACTGTTTTTCTACTTTTACATTTGTGCGTTATTTATTGTTTTATTTATCAATCTAAGCTAAGACTTTGCTTGTGGCTTGTTTATATAAGCATGAATTTTACCTATAGAATATTCCCTATTATTTCAGTATAAATTTGTTTCATAAAAGATTTTCATTCCCATCCTTGATGCATTCCAAAATTTCATTCGAAGTCAGAAAAAAATAAGCAAATTCGGCTTATATTACAGCCTTGATATTCGTGCTCAGACAGAAATTTTGATACGGTTGAGTGAAATATCATTAAAAGATAATTCAAATTGTTTGATATTTATTCCCCAGTCTTTGATACTTTAGGGTAATATTGTCTTCATCGCAAACATGCACCTAATCAAAACTTTATTAATTTGTGAGCGAAAGTCCTATTGAAACTTGCTTAGGATTTCATATTCTAAGGTAATGACATAAAATTACACATTATAAAGTCCCATCGCCTTACCAGCTTTTTCCGTAATTCCCTCCAATGAACTCCAGAGGCTCAAATTAAAACCTATCCTTCCTCAGACATTTGCTCTTCAATCTCACTTATAACATGTGTTCTTCCAGCAGGCAGATCTGCAGCGAAAACTAAAGAAATCTATCAGTCATGGGGGTATATTTTGAAGAGTATAGCCCTATTTTACCTCATTTGTGCCATGATAATTCCTGGCCTCTACCAAACGAACACTTTTGGAATTGTCAACATCACCAAGACAATCAAAGACTCCACGGCTGATTTTTTCGGTGTCAATTTATTTTCCGTGGAAACAGCGAGTGCTGACGTGAAAGAAGCCATCGAAAAATACGACGAAGTAGCTGATCACGAATCGAATGCAACGAATTTACATATAAATGAGACTATTCATGCAGGATTGGTACGTAATAACATCGCAAATACGGTACAAGAAGCGAAGATGGACCCAGAAGATTTGAAGTTGGTTCAATCGAGTATCGAAAAAGTGACTGAAAAGGCTCAAAATGAAACAGAAACTTTTAAACACACTGGAGTGAGATACTATGTCCCGTCATGGCCAGCACGTGAAAAAACTAATTCCATTGAAAATATTACAAGTCGTGAGGACAAGTCAGGTAACAAAATCAATGATCTTAACGAGAAAGATGATTCAGAATCGAGCTCAGTCATGTCGAGCATAATCGATAACCTCAAACGGCGTTTGGTCTCCAGCATTCATCAAAATATCATTACTCTGCTCCACCGAACGTTGTTTCCGACTTCACGAAATGCTGCAGACGAAAAATCCAGGTACTGAACGAGTCTACAGACATTTATCTTCGAAAGCGTCATTTCAATGCCAAGAGAGCTGAGTGAGTGGTGTTTCAACTGTCCATGACTACCGTTCCGACTGATTATCTAAATAGTTACTTTTTGCTATCGACGTTCTTCCTTTGCTTTCCTTTCTTATAGACTTCGCGATCCAAGCCTCCCATGTCTAATGGAATTTTTTTCCTTCCCTAAAATTATTGCTCCGTTGCAATTGGGAAACTCCCTAAAATAACGTAACAATGTTCAGTTTTATGTACGATCTCGATTGAGCAGCAAAAATGACCACACTTCAACCGGAGACCGCAGCATCGACTCGACTTAAATCAATTCACTTAAACTTACGAATTTTCTTGCTATTCTGTCATTTCCTTTTCTTTGTGTTCATCCAAGGACAAGAAACGGGTTCTATCGGGACAGTTCCCTTGACTACCTTCAGTGACTGGGTTAAGCTGGGCGGTCGTCTGGTCTTAGGTCCGCTCTTCATTACAATGTTCGCGCTATGGATCGCCTTCTCGTTCGCTGCCCCTTATGGAGCGCCAAGAATCAGGCGCGATGTCTACGAATCAAGTCCGTTAGAGGCACTGAGGTATTGTTGCGTTTGGTTCCCAATTACACATTTAAAAGCCTGATTAAGTTAACAGTTTGGCATAAATCTAATCAAAATGGCATGGACGAGATCAGTTAGGAACAAATACGGTTTACACTGGAATTCTAGATTTATTTTTTTCACTATAACTGTCATCGCCTGATTCGAGATCATTAACTGTGTTTTTAAATTTTCGAGTTAACTATTTTCCAATTTTCGTCGAGTAACGGTTGACACGATAGGAAGAATGGACCTGAAAAAAAAAATGTACCCCACCTGATTGACCTGCATTACATATATTTGAGACTTCATTGTTTGGTCCATTCAACACACGAAATGTGCGGCAAACTTTTATGAATGAAATCTGCTCAACATGCCCTAATATTTCGATAATTTTGCTTTCAATTTATTTTCCGTCATGTTCATTTACGAATTATAATTCAATTGTTATTTTCGTCCTTAATTATCAATTTCTAACTGCGTTCTTTGTTTGATTGTGCTAATGAATTTTATTTTTTATTTTGACTTCTTATCAAACTGAAATTTAACACCATTTCCCCGTAATTTAGGTTGAAATCGCAAGCCAATTAGTTCATTACTATATAGACGATGAATACTTTAACAATTACTTAGTTTTATTTATTTTGTTCATATCATTCAACATCGCACCATTTATTATTTTTAATTAGATAGCATGAGAGGGCAGTTGATGGCCATTTGAATGTTACTCTGACTTGTAGATGACAGCTCTAACAACGAAGGGGAACGTGACTCTGACTTGTTCATGAGAGCTCTGACAGTGAAGTTGAACTTGACTGTGACTCGTACATTAGCTGAGTCAGAGAAATGAGTGCGACTTTCTCCAATTAGCAATGCACTTTAAGTATTTGCCTTTGTGCGAGTCATCCTGACCCAGCTTGGCCCGGTAAAAGCGTGTATCATTTCTACGTCCGGTCTCTGCTTGTGAGCAAGAAAGTGTGTTGCTATATGGATATTGTAACGCATTAGGTTCTCTGTGTAAGGAAGAATTTAAGCAATATATAGAGACGGTCGAACTTCCGACGGCTTTTTTCTTCAATATGCGACTAATTCAATAAAACTCAAGCATATTTATGGTGAATTGGATTCCGTTTGATCAATTACATTAAATAATTAAGTCATTACTTACTGAACCATTCACAATTTGAATAATATTCCTTTCAAAAATTCATAAACATAATTTAAAAAAAATTCATTTTCGTGCCTGAGATATACATTGATGCATATTGTTTATTTACAAACAGGTTGATTGAAATTTAGAGTAATAATTATTTTAGAATAACAATATTTTCGGTTGATGGATTTGATAGATTTATAATGAAACTAATCGCTAGTTTAAACGAACGAAACATTTTATCGGTTTTGTCTGCGTTTCATTTTTCGTTTCTAAGTCGCTATTTTTCACAGCAATGACGTAGTTTCCATTGCGTTGGATTTCTTGGGAGTTGAGGACGAAGAATTTGGCAGCCGCTGCCGTGAGAAACTGGTGTGTGACGCCCGCAAGCTCGCGGCCAGTCTGCCTTACGTCTCCGCTTGGTTCAGGTGCGTCACTAGCGGCCAGTCTGCCGTACGTCTCCGCGTGGTTCAGGTGCGTCACTAGCGGAGAAAGCTCATGTTACTTTGAATTTTGTTTGCCATATTTTGTACCCCGTTTGCGGTGGCTGGACGAGTTTGCAGGAAATCAAAATTGGCATACAACGGACTTGCGACCACGTAACAAATATGAACACAATCCTTTGAAAATTAAGTCTTCTGACTTTTCACTTTAGTAAGGTGAACTTAAGCGAAGTGTTATAATTACGGAATTATGACGTAATTTATTAAAATACTTTTTGGAAGCAAAAAGTTGAATCCCTTGTCATAAATAAGGATTACGCTTTCTTAGGGGCATTTTTTCCGAGCGCCCCATTACAGAGCCTGTGGTGTCTGACTGCAGGCCTCAGTTGTGGGGTTATTTGTGGTTTAGGTAGGATTCCTTCCGTTTCCCTTCTCTGTCTCTCTCGTGCGGGCGGCCGACGTCCCGTGTAAATGCCCTCTCGCTCGATTGTCTTCTGTTGTTGTTTACCTGTCCCTCCTTGTCACTTGTCGCCCCCTTGTCACCTGTATCTCCTTGTCACCTGGCCCTCCGTGTCACTTGTCCCTCCTTGTCACTTGTCACTCCTTGTCCCTTCGTCTCGTTTAGATGTTTCCACTGCTTCTTCTCTCAACGGCTTCAACGGCCTGGCCACTTTAGAATAGCATCCCAGTTAGCGTCACATGTGGATGCTGAATGATGGAAGACATGTTTGTTAATTGATACCTTCCGTCTTGCATGCGAAATTTTTTAATCGCATAACAGATGAAACATTAATAAAACATAATCCTACGTGCCACAAATAATAAGGTCTTCCTTCTTTAATATATTTTCTTATAATTTGTTACCCGTAAAATGCAACATGCTTGAATTATAAGTTTATACAAACATAGCTGCCATGCAATTAAAAACCTACTAATGTTGGATTATTTTTGTAGACAGTGATTAATACTACTGATCATGTAGCAATGATTAAGTTAAGAATAAAAATAAAATAATGATAGCTCAATAAAAAAAAATTTCACGCGCTCAAAACAAGGTACAGGCAAATATCTGTTTTCAAAATTCGAGTGTCTACATTTATTTCGGTAAACGAGCACTGCAAACCGATGTTAAATATAAACTTTAGATGGGGAAACTACACTGACCTCGCTAGCATAGAGAAGATGCATTGCCTTTGCTGAGTTAGCTTGAGTGTACTCATTAATAATTTAGCTATAGGTGATAACATGAAAAATATATCTACTATGGAATGCATTATTTTATACTAAGAATCTTATAAAATTGACAATAAAATTTCTCTTTGAATTTCTTTTTGATTGCCATTATGATTAAGATTATCATTTTATTCATGGACAATATGGACATTCTTGATAATGCCCCATCTATATATAGTTGTGTAAAAGGACCCGAAGGTAGAAAGTCGGAACTTCTAAGATAATTAAGTACACCAAGGTTAGGAGAGACAAAGATACGACTGAAGGGTGTGAGACAAGTGTATTGGTCTAGTGCTGGAGATGAACTGACAACTGACATGGAGCAAAACGGCTAAGACAAGGTTAACACAAGAATGAACTGTTTCTTAGGTGGTTTGATTCAAAAAGTCAGGCAGGATATTGCTACAGTTGAAAATGCATGGTTTATTCAGTAATTATTTTCAGCATGGGAATGAATCCTCCAAGTTCTTATCTGACTACAATTTAGGCATGCTATGTCGTGATATATTTCGCTACGAATTATCCAGCAAAACTGGACTCGCATGATGAATTAATTAGAAACTTTTATTTATCGAGGGCCTCAAACCCCAAAATTTTACCACTTTAATCTTGGCGATCTTAACCACTCGACCACTCAGAATGCAATAACATTATTGTGTCAGCGTTGAAGATTAGACTACATCATACCTATCATTGATTCTAGACGTATCTTGGCTTGCTACAGCTCCAGCCATTCACTGAGCAAATCTTCATGATATGTGCCACCACTGAAAAAATAAATTAAATTTTTTCATCGCGCATGTATGTATAAATTTGAGTAAAGGGAGTTAACTGATTAATTAAATTAATGAGGGCGATCTGAAAGTCATGCTTTCTGGATTAATTTTTTGTATTTCAAATAATACTGTTTATCAGAAAAGCTCCACGCTTTCAATTAAAATTGCAGAAGCGGAGTTTAAAATTGTTTTATGTCCGCTAATTTGTCATTCCCTAACCGCTGGCAAGAACGCTATCTCCATGACAACGGTTCGATCTTTGTTTTGATTTGAATGTGCCATCAAGAAGTAGCCTGAGTGACGCCCGTGAGTTAGGTTTCATAATCGTATTCGTAACCACACAGGCTACACACTGTACAGTGTACACAGCAAGAGCAAGTCTGAGCAAGATGATGCAAGAACTGCTCCTAGCCCTTTTGGGATGTGACGGTCCAATATTTATTTCAAGCAAATCACATTACCAGGTTTGTATTTTGTAAAAACATAACAATCACAAAATTCATTGTAAATTGAAGAAATGATTTCTTGCTCCAATCCAATTTTTTGGCAAGTTCCAAGTTGGCAATCAGCATTGAGTTAAAAATGTGCAATTGCAAGTTTTAATATTGCCAAATTTGAAATTTGGTATAAAATTTTATGACCTAATCATGCACAATAAAAAAGATGTTGATATCAAATATGTCCAGAAAAATTTTTTGGCTTTAATAATGGCAGAAATTCTATTTTTGTAGCTCAAAAAGTAGAAGGCCTAGTTATTTTCCTCAACAGATGATTTGATCCTCAGTCCACTGACTCCACTCTTCCATACCAGTCTGGCATGAAAAGTTGAATTTATTTTCTTTGTAAGCTTAGAGAGTCATGTGAAGGCAACAGAACTTACGTAACGCATACGTTTTTTTTAGAGTTTTTCATTTCTCGATGCGTCCTTAATGTGTCGGGATATACCGCGTTTACCCTATATGCCATATATAATGTTAAAAATTTTATTGATTACTTCTGTTTTATAATGAGTATTGAGTAGTAAAGAATCTGAGATGATAATGAATTTATAATTTTTTTTAATTATGTATGTGTTATGATTTTTAAAATTTAAATTACTGAATTTTATCAGGTATAGAATATACATATCTATCTTTGGGCTTTCAAGCTGTGACCAAGGCTTTCCTGCAATTTTTGGAACTGCCAGACTAGAGTACCTCTAGATACAATTTGGGAAAGTGGGCAGAATTTTCCTGAAATGGCATAAAAAAAATGACCATTTTACAGGTAATTTTCAAATTTGCAGGAGAAAATAGGCTGTTTTTCTAATTTAGCACTGGAGAAATTGTGAAAAAGCCATAGGGACAGGTGAAATTGGCCAGATTTACATAATTTTTTGTCCAATTTATATGTCAGCTGCTCAATTTTCCATACAGGCATTAGATGAATTACCTACCTTTTGTGATGCTATCTAATTGTATATAAAAGTGACGAGTGTATTGAAAATTTGTCTCATTGGGGTCACAAAATTTCTTTAAGTTGCAAAATTCCATTCCTGATTCCTATGAATCAGCCTCACACAGGTTGTTGTAGCCTCAATATTCCATTTTAGGTATAAAATTTTAAATTTGTCACATGTACTGAATGGAAAAGCTGCTGGCTTACAGTTGACACTTGATATGAAACTTTTTATACACAGACACTGTCTTTATTAATGGAATAATATGACAAAAGGCTCTAATGGATAATTGCAAAATAGTGAAAGTGGAGTGAAAAAATCTTGCCAAGTGCCAAGCCATGATTAAAGCTTACCAGTAATTTTTAGAGTGTGCAAAGGATTTTTTAGACTCATTTCATTTCTAATTGCCCAATCTACCTAGTTCAGGAAATTTTGTTCAATATTATCCTATGAAAGTAAATGCAAGCAGGGTAGGTACTGTCTCCATGAAAAAGGTGGATAAAAATCTTTCATGTTTGTTAACCTGGTTGAAGTTGCGCTAGATGACTGAATACTGTAGGTATACTAATGATCAAATACGCTAATAATTGTCAAATTCAAAATTTATTGCTGAAACATGACTTGGTCAAACACATGACTTTTATCCTTTGGAGCTGTAAGATTTTAGTCAAAAAGTAAGATTTTTTCATCTTGGCATGAGATGTTGGGAGGAGGCCTGGAGGTCTGTCATTAGGGTTCTCATAGCATCTTCTGGTCAAATCCTATGACAAAGTGGAGAATTTGGCAGAGGCCTCTAGTGAATAAGATAAAGTGCCTGTTTTAATGTAAAATTTAATCTGTTTTAATGTCCGGTGCCTAATTTCCTTGAAAAAAATGAAGAAAAACTGAACATAATTGCCCTGAATTGTTAGAAGTCACCAGTGAAATGATCATTCTTACCAGGAATTTTTGAAAATTCTACCCACAATTCCAGATTGGGTCCTATGGCCTTGCAGCAAATTATTCATACAGTCTGTGATTCACATTCTCTCAAAATGCTTATAAAAACAACATGACATTATTTTTATAATATATATATTATTGAATAAGGTGGCTAATTTTATAAAATTCTTTTCAGATCCAAAATGGAGTGTTTTCTAATTGGGAGGAGCCTCTGCTATCCCGAGTCTTGGAGTTGGCATCTCATTATTCAGAACTGCTCAGTTTCTGTAGTAAGGAGAAGACTTTATAAGATTCATGTATATTTGAATACTAGTTAGCATTATTAAAACTATTAATTATAAAAAGTGCCGTAGATGTTATTTTCTAATTTATTCGTGACAAAAAGAATTAAACTAATGCCATATATACTCATACTTTTCTGAAACCACTATATTTTAATATTTTTGTTTCTTTACCAAAAAAAACCATGCATATCAAGAAGTGATGTAAAAAATTTTGTGTTGAAAATGATTGTATGGCTTAAACTATACTCTGCTTTCTTCTGTTAAGACAGGTGCAGTCAAGGAAAGGGACGTTACGAAACTGCCCTTGCTGCTGCCATCTCTGATGCTGTTCAACCGTCAGTTCTTATTAATACATATACTTGAATTGACCATTATTCATAATTGTTCAAAGTTGATCAGCCTATTGTACTTCGGATTATTTTTCTTTTGTAGGTAAATTAGTCCTTCTAATTTCTCAACAGTAAATTTTTATGGGTACGAATGTTAGATGGATTATTTACCACATGATAAAAATATAATTAAGTATAAAACACAAATTTAATACCTATGAGCAATTCGTCTTATTCTAGGGCTGTAATTGTATTACTAAAGATATTATGTATATTATAATAATATGTTCTTTCAATGCAAGACTTTTTATTCATGAATAAATACATTAGCTTTGCAAATGTTGAAGTGGTTGTAGCAAAATTACTCTGGATTCACATGTGATTACCGCGAACGAATAAGTATTACGAGATTCTTGCTCTGGTGACATGGTTTCATTAAGTGTTTATGTATTAAGTGTTGTGTTGCAGCTACAAACGTGCCGTTGTGGAGCTGGAGCGGTCTGTCCTGAAAGACGAATCTCTGTCAGTGACGCACGTCATGACGATGCTGCAGCCACACGCTCCATTGCTGTCATTCCTCGCAGGCCTCGTCAGGGATGTGCGTTTCGTTTGACTTTGGTCTTAACTTTCTTACTCATTATTTTCATGCTCTTTGGTTTATCTCTTGAATTTTTGTATATGGGTAATACAGATAGTCTACTGAAATCTACGTGTATTTTCTGACTTATAGGGTTTCTTTTTAGATTTCTTTCAAAACAATAGATGGCAGTTTGTATATGATACAGAAGTACTATTTCTCCTATATACGAAGAGGCTGTTACAAAATTTTTGCTTGCCAAAGACTAAGGTTTTTGTACGTTGTTTGTGTTACTTTTTTTTATTAGACTTGAATTGTACAGAATTTGGAAATAGGTCGGGTGCACATTCTCCACCTTAGATCATCATTTCGAGACAACTTGCATGTCCAGGTGAAAAATTTTATCATTAACACAAATGGAATGATTAAAAATTTTTATTCGAACAAGTTTATCCTCATGCCGTATAATCTAGAATTCCAAATCATGAACTGATTGACTAAAATAGCTGTTTCTTGATCTGTAAGCATACATAGATTGACTAAAATAGCTGTTTCTTGATCTGTAAGCATACATATGCATCTCATTACAATTTTTATTTAACAATGGACAATTCTAAAAACATCGTCCAGAGTTGTGATGAATATCGAAGCAGTTGTCCAAATTTGTTACAAATTCTAGAAACAGACCGAGATGAGGTGAGCCGTTCAGAATTAAATTGGTGCATCCAAATTTACCTGAATTTACATATTTTTATGTGACATATCGAGACCAATAATTTGATACTTTATGTAAAATTTTATTCAGTGAAAGTTTTCAACATTTTTCAACTGTTCATCTATGCACCATTCAAATTTTTAGATATTAGCTCTACTTATTGGCATCTTTCAGACCGATTGAAAAATTTCAATTAGACCTTGCCCAACCGGTGCTGGATAAAAAAAATTCACCAAAACAAGAAAAAGGAAATTTAATCTATTACCTAGCTATATACCGTATATAATGTATATATGTTGGCGTGCCAAGTCTCCAGCTTGTGGCTTGTGAAGCATAGACCATTAAACTAACGAAATTTACTGTCATTTTGTTAGCAGGCAAACGTCAACTAGTCTGCCTAACTGCCTATTAATAATAAATGGTTTGTTTAACCTTACCAGTGCAGCCGGTTTATATCGTTTTGTCTCTAACCGCGATAAAATGTAAGGTTGTCTCGTTACACATAAAATATATGGTTTGTAACGCATTATAACATCTGGGATACAATTTTTATATCCCAACACACAATTATACTCCCAATTCGTAAGCTCACTGTGGTATAATTTTTCATTTTTCTCTTCACTTTATCCTGGTTCTTAGTGAGAAAATGATTTCGAGAAGCGGAGATTCAAACTACTGTCATTTATTATTTAGTAATGTAACATTCATGATCATTTCTACATAGGTGGAGGAGGGAGATGTTCATGGGTGCAAGATCCTAGAAATTGTTCATCAAGAGTGTCGCAGTGCGGTGCACGACACTGCGCTTATGAACAGGTAAGTTGTTCATCAAGAGTGTCGCAGTGCAGTGCACGACACTGCGCTTATGAACAGGTAAGTTGTTCATCAAGCGTGTCGCAGTGCAGTGCACGACACTGCGCATATGAACATGTAAGTTGAGGACAGCCGTCCGTACTTCGGTGATTCAGTTTCAATTTAAAAATTCACTCCTCTATTCAAACTTAATTCAATTCAATTTTTTATTCACTTTATTTAAAAATTCACTCGATATAAAAATCTCACTGGTTATTGGATCTGAATACCTAAAAATTTGCTAATGACTGTCAATTCATCAATAATGCAGGTGTATTATTTTTGCAGAAAGAGCATTCTCATGTATCCAGGCATTTTTGTCATGACTATAACATAGTTTTGTGTTCATTGCTCTTATTTTGTAGTCGTTCCCTTATATATTTTTCGCATTTTTTAAAGTCATTTCCTATACACCAAATGCAGATGCTCATTGTTATACGTTCTTATTGTCCTTGAAACAAAATTTAAAATTTATTATATTGTTTTCTATTGGCGTGATATATTAGCTAAGTATTAGAGGGGATTATTATTAAGTTTATTCAATTGTACAGGATAGAGCAGAGTGTACACGGCGTGCTGTACGACCAGCTGACTCACTGGCTGCTCTACGGTGCCTTGCTGGATCCTTACAAGGAGTTCTTCCTACAACCAAAAGTGAGTCACTTGAGCCTTTATAAAGTTGGTATTACTACTGCTATAATCAAATAACCTATTCGTATTTCATTGCTAACAAGCTATTTTGTATTTACCATGGCTTATATACGACCCAACTTTTTACTTAACTTGAACTTCACTAAACTGTTTGTGCACATGATTTTTAAAATGACGGTAAATTCATTAATGTAAACCCATTTGTCCTTATTCTAGAAAGCATTAATGCTTGCATTTAAGTTGAATTGCCTTTTCAAATGCTTATGGATGGTAGTCGAAATGGTAGGTACGTGATTAGGTCGATATTAATGAATTTTCAGGGGGTGAGTGTGAAAGCATATGAATAACTTTCCCGAGCTTTTACACAATGTGAATAAATATGACGAATAATTAAACGATAAAAGCTCAGGAAATAATAAAATAGAATAATGGTGTCAACGCTAATTCAGAACATCAAATTATTTTCACACCTTGCTGCGGGTCTCGAACACGCAACTCGCTGCTCTAATCTCGTTTTGCATAACTGCCCAGCCGCCTAGTAAATTTTGACCACAACTTTAGCAAGTAGCTGGAGTCTAACCCGCAACTCTGTGATCCAATTATATTACTCTGAACTGTAACCAAATGCCTAAGTAATGTACGTATGTTACTGAATTCTATTTCTTGAACTATTTAATTTTAATTACCGTCAAACGGGGTAATAACTGTCTCTTATACACATCTAGATGTGTATAAGAGACAGGNATAACTGCCGCAAACGAACTTGGATTGCAACCAAAACTGAAAAATAAGTAAATTTTACAAATATGGAGTGGCTTTAGTGATTTCAGGTTAATGTTTTCAGTCGTTTATGATTTAGGTAATTTAAACTAATAATCGCCGTAAGCGAACTTGAATCTCCACCAAACTTGAGATCTACTGCTGCGCAGTGGATGCTTTAATTCCACGTTAGTGAATTCAGTTGTTTATAATTAGGTTACGTATCATAGTGCTAGATTATACATTGAAATTAAAAAACTGTAACATGGGCTTCAGGTTTACGATCAAAGTTACCGTTGCCAAATCTCATTCTAGTTTGACTTGACTAAACGGTGCTAAATTCCTAATAAAACTCCAAAAACTGTAACATGGGCTTCAGGTTTACGATAAACGTTACCGTTGCCAAATCTGGTTCTAGTTTGACTTGACCAACAGGCAGTAGCGCTGGAGAAGGACTGCTTGCCAGCAGTGAAGAGAACTTCACGCTGCAGCTCCAGGCTCTAGCCAACGCTAAAGTTTTCTCCGTGACGCGTCTTTCTGATGTTGTTCACAGCATTCGCTCCACCGTGTCACGGGTGAGCCGCGGGGTTAAATTTTAATTTGGGATCGAATTTAAATTCAATTTTTAGATATACCTCCATTTCCCTTCTTTCCCATAACCCCAATTCCATTTTTACGATCCGGCTATCACTGCCGGGGGATTAAATTTTAATTGGGATCAAATTTGAATGTAATTTTTTAGCTATACCCCCATTTTCGTTCTTTCCCATACCGCAATTTCCCTATTTCACTTGAACCATATANCAGATGGCGCTGGATGCAGGGCTAGTGTCAGCAATAGAGCAGCTGAAGTCAGTGCTGCTGCTGGGTCGTGGTGAGCTCTACCACGCTCTCCTCACCACCGCGGCTGACACTCTCGACTTACCTGCTGCCGAAGCTGACGTCAGTAAGTTGCTCATAATCTATTAGCTTATCTCTTCATTAGTGGCTGATTAGGCTATAGGCTATATAAATTGGCTATATAAATTGTTGTTTGTGGCTGTTTAATATCATTTAATCTGATTGTTATCAATTAATTTGTATACGTAGTATAAAATTATTTGTTGTACCGTATGAGTACCTATAGTTTAATATCATTTAATCTGATTGTTATCAATTAATTTGTTATATAGGTAAGTATTTAATATAAAATTATTTGTTGTGCCGTATTAGTGCCTATAGTTTTTTTATTAACGAGAAGATAGAGTCCTTCTTCTCCCAGTAATTTTTCAAAAATATGCTGGGTCGTGGTGAGCTCTACCACGCTCTCCTCACTACCGCGGCTGACACTCTCGACTTGCCTGCTGCTGAAGCTGACGTCAGTAAGTAGCTCATAATAATCTATTAGCTTATCTCTTCATCAGCCTGCTGCCGAAGCTGACGTCAGTAAGTTGCTCATAATCTATTAGCTATTCACTCCATTAGTGGCTGATTAACTGTACATAGGTTTTATAAATTGTTGTTTGTGGCTATACTAGGCTGGCTGAGCGTAAGGGCAGGAGTCTAATATCATTTAATCCGATTCTTATCAATTAATTTGTTATATACGTACGTAATATAAAATTATTTGTTGTGCCGTATTAGTGCCTATAGTATTTTTATTAACGAGAAGATAGAGTCCTTCTTCTCCCAGTAATTTTTCAAAAATATATTAATTTTAAATATTGATCAGTGTGAAATCTGACCCTCAACAACATTTGACTGATGAATGAGTAGAACTATAATGTAAAGTTGTTAAACTATAGTGAACAATTGACGAGCCTATTTTGCATTCAAGCGTCGGATATTTCATAGTAATCATGCTTAATTGTTTTGATTGATTTGTACTATGTATATATCGAATTGAATCAGTTTTAATATTGGAGTACAAAAGAAATAATCATTTATAAAATACATGATTATTTGTGTCCTTATTTAGAGGATTTCATTCTAGTTATGTTTTGTTTCAAGATAAATACGTGTAAGGTTTTGTTTCATCCACAATTCATCTCATACGTTTTCGACGCATGACAAATTTTTATTTCTTTACGAATAGTAAACTATGAACTATTGTTGGCGATTTAATGCGTTTGTTTTATATTTACTATCAAATATTCACTTTATTTATTATGTAAATATTTACATAACATTTAAAAACATTTTCTATTTATTTCCATTTTATTATGAAAATATTTACATTATTTGTTATGTAAATATTCTCTTTATTTATTATGTAGGTACTTACAATCTGAAAAAATATTGTATATATTTCCATTATAATATATTGTAATCACCGAATATATTGGAATATATTGAAGTAAAAAAATCGGCGACAGGCCTATCCAGGCCTATTCTTCAATGCCGAAGATACTATACTACTACTACTACAGTAGGTACTACTAATAATAATATATATTTCCTATATTATATAGTTTTCCTACTACTAATATACTAATAATAATAATAATATAGGTATACTAATAATAATATATATTTCCTACTATATAGTTTTCCTACAACTACGGTATATTTATATATAGTTGTTATATAGTTTTCCAACTATAATAATAATATATAAATATATACAATGATTATTGTATATATTTCCATTGTAATAATATGGGTAATAATTTTGTATATTTATTTATCAGATTTAGGGGCCGTGGTTAAAAAATTATTTACTGTGGAATATTCACTTTATTATTATGTGGTAAATATTATCTTATTATTTAAATTTTTTTTATTTCCATTATAATAATATAGTAATAATTATTAATATATTTAACTTATCAGACGTAGGCGCCGTGGTGCTGGTGTGCGGGCAGCAGGTTCAGGTGCAGGAGGACCTGCTCGACAACTTCAGCTTCTACAGCACGCAGCAAGCCATGCACCTCCTGCCACAGGTCGTGCGTGACACGCACGACCACGCAGGCACCGGTTCGTGATCTCAGTGGCACGTACGTGACACTTGATGCCACGTACGTGACACTTGATGCCACAGACGTGGCACTTGCTGCCATGTGCGTGGCACTTGATGCCACGCACATGACACTTGATGCCACGTGCGTGATATTTGATGCCAAGAGCATGGCACTTGATGCCACGTGCGTGGCACTTGATGCCACGTGCGTGATATTTGATGCCACGTGCGTGACTCTTGATGCCACGTGCGTGGCACTTGATGCCACGTGCGTGACTCTTGATGCCACGTGCGTGGCACTTGATGCCACGTGCGTGATATTTGATGCCAAGAGCATGGCACTTGATGCCACGTGCGTGGCACTTGATGCCACGCACATGACACTTGATGCCACGTGCGTGATATTTGATGCCAAGAGCATGGCACTTGATGCCACGTGCGTGGCACTTGATGCCACGTGCGTGACTCTTGATGCCACGTGCGTGGCACTTGATGCCACGTGCGTGACTCTTGATGCCACGTGCGTG